TTCAACTTTTGTTATATATCACCAACCACATGCAAATTGTTTTTTGAGAGGACAATTGCTGCTTCTTTCAAAAATATCTCCTAGGACAGATGTGTCCAAGTGTAACAATGCAAAGATACACTATCACTGATCACAAGACCAGATCACCTGAGAATCTTCCAGTGCACAGAAGAAACATACAAGACCATTCCTGAAAGCCCAAGACTCCTCCTGAATTTCCCCCAGCTGCTGTTTTGTGCCTATGGCAAAGCCCTCCCTGAGCAACAAGGAAATAGGTGGTTTGGAGCAAGAGCCCTTACCTCCTATGTTGGCCACCCAAGTGAACTCCTCTTTGTAAAAACTGGTGTTTTGGCCTTGCCCTCTCATTTCAGTGGTAGAGTCTGAAGAAGACACACAGAAGTAACACCTCACAAAGAGAAGGAAAATAACAGGTCATTAGCCTGGATACCAGGTTTCTGAGAGAGTATCTTTGGTATCTGTCACTTCTTCACCTCCTTCAATGACACCTTTGTCTATGTCACTGTTTGTCAAGGAAACCATCTGCCCAGTGACAGGTGGGACAAAGGTGAAGGCTGACCTAGACAAATCCTCACCATATACTTCCATGTTGGCTGGCCAGACGTGGCCCAGAGGTGCAACCAGCCAGGCATCACTGCCCTACATATCAAACTCTGGGCCACAGATGAACAGAACTAAGACCCCTGGACCTAGGGCCCAGTCAGCCCACTTGGGTACGATTGAGGACGTCACCCAGACGCTCACACAGCACCCACAGGAAAGGTGACAGTTGTGGTTGCTGACTCACCAGATGGCTTTCTGTTAATAAACTGCCATGATGGAAGCTAAAAACAAATTGGTTTTGGTGTAGCCAACTATGCCTTATAAAGAGCACCAGTGAGAGATGCCCTTCATTCAGTTCAACATGGACTCTGACATTGACAGCTTTAAGACCAGTGACTTTTTTTTTTTTTGACAGGCAGAGTGGACAGTGAGAGAGAGAAACAGAGAGAAAGGTCTTCCTTTGCCATTGGTTCACCCTTTAATGGCCACCACGGCCGGCGCGCTGCAGCCGGCGCACTGCGCTGATCCAAAGGCAGGAGCCAGGTGCTTATCCTGGTCTCTCATGGGGTGCAGGGCCCAAGGACTTGGGTCATCCTCCACCGCACTCCCGGGCCACAGCAGAGAGCTGGCCTGGAAGAGGGACAACCGGGACAGAATCTGGCACCCTGACTGGGACTAGAACCCAGTGTGCTGGTGCCACAAGGCGGAGGATTAGCCTATTCAGCCACGGTGCCAGCCAAGACCAGTGACCTTTAAAAATCATTTTCTCCTAAATAATGTAAGTTATGATTCAGTTTAAGAGTTTTAGACTTTTAGACTACCTAGCCAAGGAACATCTTTAGAAGAGTTTTCCTGATGCTAATTTCTAACTTACTGAGATATTATGTGAGGATATTTACAGGTAACCTCTATTGATCTGAATTGCTGATTTTCACTTTTCAGATCCTAGACCTTCTAAGATTCTTTTTTCTTTTTTTTTTTATTTTTTTTATCTTTTATTTAATGAATATAAATTTCCAAACGACTCATGTGTTACAATGGTTTCCCCCCCATACCGTCCCTCCCACCCACAACCCTCCCCTTTCCCACTCCCTCTCCCCTTCCATTCACATCAAGATTCATTTTCGATTATCTTAATATACAGAAGATCAGCTTAGTATACCTTAAGTAAGTATTTCAACAGTTTGCTCCCACACAGAAACATAAAGTGAAAAATAATAGATGATTTTTTTTAAATGATGATGAAATCAGATCTGACCTATTGTCATGTTTAATCCCAGTGAGAGTCAAGTTGGGAATTGATAATTTCTTTCTTTCTTTCTTTTTTTTTTTTTTTACAGAAGATCAGTTTAGTGTACATTAAGTAAAGATTTCAGTCGTTTGCACCCCCATAGAAACACAAAGTGAAATATACTGTTTGAGTACTCGTTATAGCATTAAGCCTCAGTGTACAGCACGTTAAGGACAGAGATCCTACATGAGGAGTGAGTGCACAGTGACTCCTGTTGTTGACTTTACCAATTGACACTCCTGTTTATGGCATCAGTAATCTCCCTATGCACCAGTTATGAGTTTCCAAGGCTATGGAAGCCCCTTGAGTTCTCCGACTCTTATCTTGTTTAGACACGGTCATAGTCAAAGTGGAGGTTCTCTCCTCCCTTCAGAGAAAGGCACCTCCCTCTTTGAAGACCTAAGATTCTTTTTTCTCAAAATGCCTAAATCTGATCAACTTAACCAAAAAGTTTTATAAAAGAGAGAACTAATGCTGTAAAAAGATTATACCAAAAATGTTGCTTTTGCATCTGGAAATACGAATAAAATGTAATAAGACAGAATAATGACACTGGAAAAAAATCTGAAATTTATATCTAACTTTACTACCATCAATGTTCAGTAATTATATCAATCACACATTATTAAACATTATTCTTTCTAAATCCTTGAAGTCTTTTTAACTTATCAAGAATTATAAACCACATACAAATATTTATGTAATAAGGACACAAATTTATTATACTATGACTTTGATTTAAAATAGTCCCTTTCCAAATGTTTTATTTTTAATATATAATCCATTTTGGTATACATTTATATGTATATATAAATATATTAAATGAATATATAAAATATATATGTATATATACATATACACACACAAATGCCTGTGAACAGAACTTTTTTTTAAAGATTTATTTTACTTGAAAGTCAGAGTTACACAGAGAGAAGGACAGGCAGAGAGAGAGAGAGAGAGGTCCTCCACCCACTGGTTTACTCCCCAATTGGCCACAACAGCTGGAGCTGAGCCGATCCGAAGCCAGGAGCCAGGAGTTTCCTCTGGGTCTCCCATGTGGGTGCAAGGGCCCAAGAATTTGGGCCACCTTCTACCACTTTCTCAGGCCATAGCTGGATCAGAAGTGGAGTAGCCAGGTCTTGAACCAGTGCCCATATGAGATGCCGGCACCACAGGCGGTGGCCCCACCTGTTAAGCCATAGTGCCTATACTAATGTAGAACAACCATGAGTGACTCATTTCAAGACTTTACTTTTAGGCTGGCACTGTGGTACAGCAGGTTATGTTAGAGTTGAAAAAGCGTCCACCACCCCAAGAACGACTCCAAGAGGCTTTCTCTCATGCAATTAGCAAAGGGTAAGGTTTATTGATGATCCAACATGTTGGGGCCCCTGAGCATAAGAGAACAGGCAGCCCCAAGAAGTAGAGAGTTGGGGTTTTTATACACATTTAAACAAAGAAAATCAATCATTGCATAGATCAAACAGTCGGTGCAGAGTAAACAACTGATACAAGTTAAGTGATTTTACAATCAGTTGATTTATGAATACAGGGAGTACAGGATATCGAGTAAGGGCTTGATTAGACATCAGAGAACCATATGGCCTATACAGGGAGGATCAAAAAGCCTCCTATTACCAAAAGGGAGGGCCACACAACAAGGTTACAAGAACTGCCTCGATGGTACCTAGGAATGCAGCCGAATGGCGATAAGGGACATATGGTGGGGTCAGAGTTCCAGGAGCAAATAGATTTCTTAGTGAAGGTTTGTTAATTTCTAAACAGTGACTCCTTCTATCTTACTTAGGTGAAACTAAGGTTACGTCTACATTGGGGTAATTCACTGACTAACTAACTTTAAAGAGAATGGCTATACAGAGCAAGTCTAACAAGGTCAGGAAGTTCACCAGAGAAGGGCAGGGGGAGCGGGAGTGGCTTTTAACTTTTTAACCCTTCAGTTACATATCTGGCTGCCAGTTTAAGTCCTGATTAGTTTTTTTTTTAATATTTATTTATTTACTTGAGAGGCGGGGACACAGGTAGAGGCAGAGAGAGAGAGGTCTTCCATCCACTGGTTCACTCCCCAAATGGCCGCAACGGCTGGAGCTGTGCTGATCTGAAGCCGGGAGCAAGGAGTCTCCTCCAGGTCTCCCACACAGGCACAGGGGCCCAAGGACTTGGGCCATCCTCTATTGCCTTCTTAGGCCATAGCAGAAAGCTGGATTGGAAGGAGCAGCTAGGATTTGAACCAGTTCCCATACAGGATGGCGGCACCGCAATCAGCAGCTTCATCCACTATGCCACAGCACTATTCCCTGCTTTGCTTCTGATCCAGCTTTCTGCTCACTCACCTGGGTGAGCATCAGTTGATGCCCCAGGTGTTTGGGACCTGCTACCCACATGGGAGACCCAGATGAACTTCTACTTTGTCCAGTCCTGGGTATTGCGGTCATTTGAGGATGTGAACAAGTGATGAAAGATCATTCTGTTTCTGTCCCTCTGCCTCTCAAATAAAATAAGCAATTCTAAGAAAAATGTCCCTTTTCTGTACTTTAGTTGGAAATGCTACTTTTAAGAGAAATGAGGTGAAGACTGGGATTCATTTGAAAAGAGGTGAATGGAAACCTAAGGAATAGTTTGGGAATACTTTTCTTCACACTGAAAAAAAATCACTATGCTAAAAAGATTTTGAATGATGTAAAACTACAGCGATAATACAGGGGAAATTTTAAATATGATCATTTATATAATACAGTTATACATTTTTAAATCAATATGTAAGCATCTCTTCAGGAGAATTTCTATCAATCCAAGGACTGATTACACCATGAATTTCTACAGGCATGTTTGACAGGCAAAGGGATGGGGGTGGGAAGAATGAAAGAAAAAGAAAGAGCCTGCATCTCTTGATTCACTTACTAAATGCTGGAACAGTCAGGGCTGTATTTGGCCAGAGCTCTGTGCTGGGAACTCATTCCAGATCTCGCACATGGACAGCAAGGACCTAAATTCTTGAGCTGCCTTTCAAGGCCCATACTGGCTGTAAACTGGAATCAGGAATCAGAGTCTGAATCTGAACTCAGACCCTCCAATGTGGAAAGCAGATATCGTAACTGGCATCTTAACTGCTATTCCAAATGCCCGGTCCTCTACATGCATTTTTAGGTTTACCCAGACTTTTATTATCTTTGCTGGATTCTTAATTTCATCATTGCATGTTAGGTTACTTTATTAATTCTTAGCACATGCCAAGTGTTTAACATAGTACCCAATTCTTTATAACATGGTCTTTCAGTTGCATGTAATCCAAAGTTCTTAAAACCATTAACATTTATTAATCTTGATAAACAATCCTTACTAGAAATAAATTATAGTAGGATTATCTTCTAAACATAATCTACCTGGAACATATGTGTAAGAGAATAAAGGGTGGGGCAGACAGGGAATAAAATGCCCAGAAGAATCTCCATCCAAAAGCAGTATCTTTGGGTCTGGTGGTGTGGGGTAGCAGATAGCACTGCTGCCTGCTATGCTGACATCACTTATGGGTGCCATTTCGTGTCCCAGCTGCTCTGCTTCTGATCCAGCTCTCTACTAATGGCCTAGGAAAAGCAGCAGAAGATGCCCAGGTGCTTGAGCCCCTGCCACCCACGTGGAAGACCCAATAGAAGACCCAATAGAATTGCTCCTGACTTCAGCCTGACTCACCACTGGCCATTGCACCCATCTGGGGAGTCAACCAGTGTATAGATCTCTCTGTCTCTCTCTCTCTCTGTAAATGACATTCAAATAAATTTTCTTTTTTTTTTAAATCCAATAGACCTCAATATTTACATCGATCCCTAATTTGTAAATGAGCCTTTCTGACTGCCTGATATCAAGGTCCCCTGCCTTATACACCTCAGGTCTCTTTGTAAAGGAGTAATACATAAGGCGTCCATTGCCTTGTCATTTTTTAATTCAGAGAGGGAAGTATCAAAGAGAATGTCCCACAACAAAGCACTTTAGCAGGATCACTGAGCTGTTGGATAATATGGGCAAGAGCAAACCTGACTAGAAGCTCCCATTGGGAGAAACTGACTTTGACTAAGAGGCCTCCAGAGTTACAGAGGGAGGAGTGATTTGGTTCTCTCTGGTACAGGATTTACAATATGACTCTGACATCTCACTACAGAGATCATCCTTGTTATTTTTGGATTTTACAGTTCCCTGCATCCTGATTCTCTTCACTGTCATAAGAATATAAACCATAAATGATACTTCTGGCCTCCTGAGATTGTGGATCTAGTTTGAGCATTTGATCTAGTGATTGCTCTAGTGATTAAGATATAGGTTTAAGATGCCCTTGTCCCATATTAGCTACCTAGGTTCAAATCCTGGCTTGGCTCCCACCTCCAGCTTCCTGCTACTGTGCATCCCAGGAGACACCAAGTTAGGACTCATTTAATTCTGTCTCTGCCACTTACATGGAAGAGAAGAACTGTGTTTCCTGTCCTTGGCCTGTGCACTGCAGAAATTTATATGTAAGTTGGGCTGGAAGGTGGGAGACTTCTCTGTTTCTGTTTCTCTTATCTCCCTGTCTCAAATTTAAAAAAAGGTGTCAATTGTCTTTCCAGCTAAATTTTTTTTAAGATTTATTTATTTGCAAGTCAGAGTTACACAGAAGAGGCAGAGAGAAAGGCAGAGAGAGAGAGAGAGAGAGAGAGAGAGAGAGAGATCTTCCATCTGATGGTTCATTCCCCCAGTTGGCCACAATGACCAGAGCTGTGCCAATCCCAAGCCAGGAGATAGGAGCTTCTTCCAGGTCTCCTACACAGGTGCAGGGGCCCAAAGACTTGGGCCATCTTCTACTGCTTTCCCAGGCCATAGCAGAGAGCTGGATTGGAGGTGGAACAGCCGGGTCTCAAACCAGCACCCATATGGGATGCTGGCACTTCAGGCCAGGGCATTAACCCACTGTGCCACAGCACAGACCCCTCCAGCTAAAAATTTTAACAAGAGTCAAGAGAAGTTGATGGTTCATTCAGCCTATCATCCTTTGCAGCTGCTGATCTTATATAGATCAATGTGCTTAGTCTTCTAATTTCCAGCTTTTCAACTACATCCACAGCTTTTTAAAATTAACACTTTGGGTACTTTTAAGACTTACCTATGGTCCCCAAACAACTCAAGTTTAAAAATTAAACAGATGGCATTGTGGCATAGCAGGTTAAGCTGCCACCTGCCCCACTTCTGATCCAGCTCCCTGCTAACGTACCTCAGAGTGCAGTAGAGGGCAGCCCAAGCACCCACATGGGAAACTTGTAAGAAGCTCCTGGCTCCATGCTTTGGACTGGCCCAGCTCTAGCCATTGTGACTATGTGGTGAATGAACCAGTGGATAGAAGATCTCTGTGTCTCACTCTCTCTGTGTAACTGACTTAAAAATAAATAAATACATATTTTTAGAAAGCTAAACAGACCTTAATTTTTGTATTTTTAAAATTATATTAATCCACTTGAGGGACAGAGAGCTTCAGATAGAGCAAGGGAGGGAATCCCATTGGGTGGTTCACTCTTCAAATGACTATAATGGCCAGGGATGGACCAGGCTGTATCTCAGAGCCATGAACTCAATTCAGGTCTCCAAATGGGGTGGTGAGAAATCAATGACAGCTGTGCATCAGCAGAAAGCTGGAATTTGGAGTGAAGTAAGATGCAAACTTAGACACTCTAGCATGGGATTTAGGTGTCCCAGGTACCATCTTAACCACCAGGCCAAACACCTGCCCCAGATCTTAGTTTAAATCATATTTGGCTGCTTAGTAACAATGATCATTGATAATAATCTATACTCTCTTTATCTAGTTTTCACTATCTGAAATGAGATAATAGAGGTATAATTAAGCTCAAAATATGCACATGGAAGTCCAGTCAATAGGTAGTAGGGATGCAAAATCAAGGTTTTGGCTGAATGAGTTCCAGTTGACTACAGAGTACTTCCCTTTCAGCAGAGCTCACACATGAGTGGATCTAAAGTAGCAGACACTGACATACATACAAGGAGCTCACCACAGGGTGCCTCCACATCTTTGTCATCATGCACTGCTCACAGGCTACATGTAGCTGCCTCACAATCCGAGATGATCACAGTGCTGTCCTGGTCGAGTCTCCAAATCCAGTATATCCTTTCAGTCATTAGGCTTATTCTTGATCAAACAGAAAAGTACAGTAGAATGGGAAAATTAAAAATAATAGAAAATCATGGCTATGACATCAAAACAGCATCCAGTAAAAATGAGTTACATTTATTGACTGAGTCCATAATCAGATCATTTAACTGTAGTAGTCTTGAGTCATGAGAAAAAGAGCTGAAGGAATGTTCTGAATGTGTGTATGTGTACATATAAAACTACACAACTCATTCCCTATAAACACTCATAGAACTTTCTGCAGAATCACTCCATAAATCACCACGAACATTAATAGGGTAAGACAAAACTTTGCAAGCAGTAAAGTCTTGATATTTACCTTCCTTCTAAAGGAAACACAATGAGTGTGTCCATGGCTAAAGTGAAGTGCTAGAGGCTAATTCAAAGCATAGCCATTGAATTCTGCATGATATACTTTGACTTTTGAAACACAGGCCCATAGTAGACCTCCTCCAAGAAGTTAAGCACAAAATCTTTTTTTTGGGGGGGAGGGGACAGGCAGAGTTAGACAGTGAGAGAGAGAGAGAGAGAGAGAGAAAGGTCTTCCTTCCATTGGTTCACCCCCCAAATGCCGCTATGGCTGGCGCACTGCGCTGATCCAAAGCCAGGAACCAGGTGCTTCCTCCTGGTCTCCCATGCAGGCGCAGGGCCCAAGCACTTGGGCCATCCTTCACTGCCTTCCCAGGCCACAGCAGAGAGCTGGACTGGAAGAGGAGCAACTGGGACAAAACTGCACACCAACCAGGACTAGAACCCAGAGTGCCGGCACCTCAGGTGGAGGACTGGCCTAGTGAGCCACAGTGCCGGCCTAGAATTTGAGTCTTATACTATACCTCCCAAGCTAAAGTCTTTGCCATACAGGAGCCCCTGAGAATTCTACATTACAAAGCTGCAGACTATAAGAGCCACATTTTGTGGGTAACATTTCCATATGTTTAGTCCACATATACAAGTATAGCCTGCCTTTGTTTTTATAACATATATTATAAAAAAGAATGTAGCATCTGTGAGCAATATATAAAAGGAATCTCTTACTGCACTAAAGTATGTAATTCTAATGAAATCTGATTGGAAAGGACACAGAACTGACTCACAATCTAATGTGTCAGCAGCTAAAAGCTCAAAATGGATAAAAACCCTCTTTGGTAGTAATGCTTGTCCAGAGCCCCCTTCTTCCTGAAATGTTTGTTAGAATACTACTAGTCTACTATTAGAATAACAGGATAATAATTCTTTTTTTTTTTTAATTTTTATTTAATGGATATACGTTTCCAAAGTACGAATAATGGATTACTATGGCTTCCCCCCCATACCGTCCCTCCCACCCACAACCCTCCCCTTTCCCACTCCCTCTCCCCTTCCATTCACATCAAGATTCATTTTTGATTATCTTAATATACAGAAGATCAGCTTAGTATACATTAAGTAAGGATTTCAACAGTTTGCTCCCACACAGAAACATAAAGTGAAAAATAATAGATGATTTTTTTTTTAATGATGATGAAATCAGATCAGACCTATTGTCATGTTTAATCCCAGTGAGAGTCAAGTTGGGAGTTGATAGTTTCTTTTCTTTTCTTTTCTTTTTTTTTTTTTTTTTTTTTTTTTTTTTTTTACAGAGGATCAGTTTAGTATGCATTAAGTAAAGATTTCAACAGTTTGCACCCCCATAGAAACACAAAGTGAAATATATTATTTGAGTACTCGTTATAGCATTAAATCTCAATGCACAGCACGTTAAGGACAGAGATCCTACATGAGGAGTGAGTGCACAGTGACTCCTGTTGTTGACTTTACCAATTGACACTCCTGTCTATGGCATCAGTAATCTCCCTATGCTCCAGTCATGAGTTTCCAAGGCTATGGAAGCCCTCTGAGTTCTCCGACTCTTATCTTGTTTAGACAAGGTCATAGTCAAAGTGGAGGTTCTCTCCTCCCTTCAGAGAAAGGTACCTCCTTCTTTGAAGACCTGTTCTTTCCACTGGGATCTCACTCACAGAGATCTTTTGCCAGAGTGTCTTGGCTTTCCATGCCTGAAATACTCTCATGGGCTTTTCAGCCAGATCGGAATGCCTTTAGGGCTGATTCTGAGGCCAGAGTGCTATTTAGGACATCTGCCATTCTATGAGTCTGCTGAGTATCTCACTTCCCATGTTGGATCACTCTCCCCTTTATTTATTCTATCGGTTAGTGTTAGCAGGTACTAGACTTGCTTATGTGCTCCCTTTGACTCTTAGTCCTTTCATTATGATCAATTGTGAACTGAAATTGATCACTTGGACTAGTGAGATGGCATTGGTACATGCCACCTTGATGGGATTAAATTGGAGTCCCCTGGTATGTTTCTAACTCTACCATTTGGGGCAAGTCAGCTTGAGCATGTCCCAAATTATATATCTCTTCCCTCTCTTATTCCTACTCATGTTTAACAGGGATCACATTTCAGTTAAATTTCAACACTTAAGTAATTCTAATATTTTTATAGATGGAAACTTCTATTAACAAAGCACACTTCACAGTTCCTTGGTGCTTGCAGTTTCCCAGAATAACCAGCACATAATAGCGAAGAGCAGTGAATGTTGGGGCAGTGTATTCTGGTTTTCTACTGTCACTTTAGGGGTGCTGTGTCTCAAGCCCTAGCAACAACAGAAAACCTGAAGAATACATCTCTTGATTCTGAGACCTCAAAAGTATCTGGAGATAAGTGGTAAGAGATAAGTGGCGTCACCTCAAAAAGACCCACATAAGGGCAGGTAAAGCAGGATGGACCACTAAGTATGACTTCAAGTGACTTTAAATTGCTGTTTCCAGTGCTGTTACTTGATGTCTGAGGATGTCTACTCTTTGTCACATTCTAGCAAGAACATGTGCATTCTCACCAATAAGGTGGTAATATGCCTACAGTGAGGACATTCTGGCCAGGGGCATTCCTGTGCTACAGACTGTGCTATAGACAAGGGGACATTTACTCTAACACATCATGCACCATAATGAAGTTGCCATAGGTTTTGAGGACAGATTAAGAAGGAAAAGACATGTAAGGGAAAGAGATGACAAAGTGCATGCCTAGTACAAGGCCAGATGAGAAAGTACTCCTAGGAGTCTATGTCCCAAATGACTTCTCCATTGCACCTGAAAGTATAGGAGAAACTGAGCTAAATTGTTATGTGATACTTGTGTTCTCAGCCTTCTCAACAAACTCATTTCCCTTTCAAAATGAAAGCAAAAGTTCTAGGTTCTGATGGAAATGTAAAAACACAAAATGGTGACAATGGTGTAAGGGCTGGGAACAGGGGATGCAAGCTGGAGGGTTCTATTTAACACATACCAACACTGTCACAGCAGCCTTGGCATGTGGAGGTGAGCTCTATTCATTAAGAAAGGGGCAGGTGCCATTCACATGTCTACACAACTGACTTAGCCTTGCACAATAACCATCTTAATTATCGTCATGGGAAGGACACAAGTGAAAGTCACTTTTCACCAAGAGGGGGGAGAATGAAAGGGGAATGCCAGGAGAAGAGGGGGACCCTGACACAAGGAAGACTGTGACAAAGACTCACCCTGGAAAGGAATGTGTAGATTTTGGAGAGAAGGCTGCTAAACAATAAGATTCTGCCCTCTAGGGGCATGACACTGGTATGCCAATCCCCATATTCAATGCCAGGGAGTGACTGGATAGCATGTATGCTAGAATACCAGGGTCACCAAGGATATCCTAGCTCTGTCCCATGCACTGTATCTGAGCTCTCCAAAGGGCAGTTACCATCCTTGGCCAGCAAGTATATCCGTATGGAACTTCCCCAAACTGCAGGTGTACTTTCAACACCTTTCTCAAACATTCCATCTACCCCTTTCCTATTGTGCTTCCTGCCTCCCCACCCTGCCCCAGACATGTCTCCTTAGGAAGAGACTGCCCCGAAGAAGGAGGGATCCCTCAGAAATTCAGGCCTCAATATCACCCCCACCTCCCTAACCCTTGGGATGAATCCAGCATGAAGAAACCAGTGCAGGGTACCTTACCTAGGAGAATTTCAGACAGGGAGTAACTTTCAGCATATGCAGTGGACAAGAGGCACAGCACCATCCCTGCCTGCTGCTGTGTGTATCAGAGCAAGTCAGGGCCTGGGGCAGGAGCACAGGGCTGTGGCATGAGCACAGGAGATGCAAGATTCTTACTCTAAAACTTTTGAAGAAAGGAAATGGGTTCATTTTGGGTTAAGTGTAAAGAAAGAAGGGTGGAGGACAGAGGGTCAGGGAAGGAAATGCACATTTTTACATTTTACATTAAAAGGAAGGTTTGAAAAATTGGCTCTTCACTTAAAGACATAAACAGACTTTGGAGAGTAGTGTTGGAAAGACAACTCACTATGTGCAATGGAACTGTAATAAGACTGTCAATATATTTTTCAGCAGAAATTTTGCAGTCCAGAGGGAGTGGTATGGTTTATTCAAAGTCCTGAAAGAAGTAAACAAGAAAATGTGAATCAATGTATTATTTTCAGTGATCCTGTATTTCAAAAATGGAATACAAAGAAACTTTATTAAAAAAAAAAAAAAAAGGTAAAGGTGTTTATCACCATTCACTGGAAAAACTGCTACAGGAAATTCTTCAAGGGGAAGGAAGAGGATACTAACTAGTATAAGGAAATCATGTGAGGGGCCGGCATTGTGGCTCACTTAGTTAATCCTCCGCCTGCAGTGCCGGCATCCCATGTGGGTGCTGGGTTCTAGTCTTGGTTGCTCCTCTTCCAGTCCAGCTCTCTGCTGTGGCCCGGGAAGGCAGTGGAGGATGGCCCAAGTGCTTGGGCCCTGCACCCACATGAGACCAGGAGGAGGCACCTGGCTCTTGGCTTCAGGCCAGTGCAGTGCTGGCCATAGTGGCCATTTGGAGAGTGAACAACAGAAGGAAGACCTTTGTCTCTCTCTCTCACTGTCTATAACTCTACTTGTCAAAATAAAAATAAATTAAAAAAAGAAATCATGTGAAAATACAAAGCTCATAAGCCAGTGTGCATACAGTATCAGATTCAAACCACTAATATTCTAATTATGGAAGACTGATAAATTTTATCACTAGTAAAAGGTTAAAAGACACTCTATAGGGGCTGATGCTATGGCATACTGGGCTAAGCCTCTACTTGTGGCACTGGCATCCCAGGTCAGCACCAGTTCTTGTCTCAGGATCATGTCTCGGCTAATCTGCTTCTGATTCAGCTCTCTGCTATGGCCTGGGAAGGCAGTAGAAAATGGCTGAAGTGCTTGGGCCCCTGCACCTGCATGAGATATCTGGAAGAAGCTCCTGGCTCCTGGCTCTTGGCTCCTGGCTCCTGGCTCCTGGCTTCAGATCACCCCAGCTCCAGCTGTTGTGGCTATTTGGGGAGAGAAGCAGTGCACAGAAGACCTTTCTTTCTTTCTCTACCTCTCTCCATCTGTATCTCTACTTCTTAAATAAAATAAATAAATAAATGAAAAATAACTATAGCTGTAACATTTCCTAAATGATACAAAGTATAAGGTGAAAATGTGACATTCCAACATAAAATGTAGGAGGAGGGGGAGTAAAAGGATAGTCTGTGAATGATATCAGAATTAAGGCTCTCAACCTAGAGTTTTTTTTTTTTTTAAATAGAAGAATTAGGAAAACCACTAGGCAAACAACTATATCATGAGGGATCTCTTAAAAGTTCAGGAAAATGTGCAATTTCAAAATATTTTTCACCAAAATCAACTTATATTTTAATTCTAATTTCATTAACTTTTTGAAATAGAGATAATAAAAAGATTTTTTAAAAGATTCAAAGTATGTCACTATAGAAAATCATCAAGTCACAAAGGATATTGGTTAGAGATGAAAAAAAGATGAATTTATAAAACAACAGTATTAGTAAAATAGTAATGAATCCTCACCTCTTAATAATTATTTTGAATGTAAATGAATTCTCTAAATAAAAGGCAAACAATGGATGGAGAACAAAAAAAAAGATAAAGATATGACTATATAGAGGCTACAAGAGGCTCATTTACTTTAAAGGGCATTTATAGATTGGAAGTGAAGGGATGGAAAGAGATAATCAATATAAATGAAAAGCAACAATAATCAGACGTAACTATAAGTCAGATCAACTAAATCAGACTTTAGACCAAAGTTGTAACAAAGAGACAAAGGTCACTGTATAGTGATAAAAGTATCAGTTCATCAAGTGGATATAAAATTGTACACACACCTAAACTCAGAATATCTCTCTGTCTCTAAAACACAGGAATACATATAAGAAATTTAAAGGAAAACAGACTATTACACAATAAAGGCAGGGATTTCAAATCCCCATTTTCAACAATAGATCATCTAGATTGAAAATCAACAAGAAAGCATTGGGACTGAATTATGCATTAGGAACAAATGGTCCTACCAGACATATACAAAACATTCTGGGGGCTGGTGCTATGGTGTGAGCTGAGACTCTGCCTATGATGCAGGCATCCCATGTGGGTGCCAGTTCTAGTCCTGGCTGCTCCTCTTCTGATCCAACTCTCTGCTATGGCCTGGGAAAGCAGTGGAGGATGGCCCAAGTGCTTGGGCCCCTGAATCCGTGAGGGTGACCTGGTAGAAGCTCCTGGTTCTGGGCTGAAGATTGTCTCAGCTCCGGCCATTGCAGCCACTTGGGGAGTGGACCAGCAGATGGAAGACTTTTCTCTCTGTCTCTCCCTTTCTGTAGCTCTGCCTCCCAAATAAATAAATAAAAAATAATTTTTTGAGATTTAAAAGCAAGATTTATTAGAGTCAAAGACCTCATGATAAAACTGGAAGCTCCCAAGGACAAGTACTTCTGACCTTGCTAAAGGTAACTTTTGGGATAAATAAAATCTAGAAAAAGAACAAACAAAAAAAAACATATTTTGTCTAAGAACAATACAATAAAATCAAAAGTCATCCAAAGTACACATACAATATATGTGGTCATACATTAAGCCACAAAAATAATGTCAACAAATTTAAGATTAAAATCATATCAAGTATAATTTCACACCCTAGTGGTCTGAAAATAGAAATTAATAATAGGTGAATTAGAAAATAGACAAATATGTAGGAACTAAGCCATATACAACCCTAAATAACTACAGGATCAAAGAAAAACTAAAGAGGGAAGCTAAAAATACCTTGAAGAAAATAAGGAAACAGCATACAAAGCTAATAGGATGTAGCAAAATGAAGTACAATATCACCACAACAAAAAAGAAGATATCAAATAAACAATTTATCTAATGTTATAGCTCAACAAATTAGGAAAAACACTAAAGAAAATCAGCAAGAAAAGGAAATGACAGAGATTAAAGAAGTAATTAAAAATACATTGTGGGGGGCCACACTGTGGTATAGGGGGAAAGCTGCTGACTGCAGTGCCAGCATCCCACATGGGCAATAGTTCCAGTCCCAAATGCTCAACTTCCAATCCAGCTCTCTGCTATGGACTGGGAAAGCAGTAGAAGATGGCACAGGACCCTGGGTCCCTGCACCCACTTGAGATACCTGGAAGAAGCTCCTGGCTCCTGGCTTCAGATCAGCCCAGCTCTGGCCACCACAGCCATTTTGGGAGTGAACCAGTGGATGGAAGACTTCTCTCTCTCTGCCTTTGCCTCTCTGTAACTCTGCCTTTCAAATAAATAAATAAATAAATCAAAAAAGTTAAAATAAAGCCCTCATTTAAACATCATAAAAATAAAACTACTTATGATTGAATTAACCAATAAGGAGAACGATCTGTATACTCAAAAGTGTGACATATGAATAAAGGAAATTGAAGACAGCAGAAACAATGGAAAGCTAGTCCATGTTCATAGATCAGAAAAATAATACTGTTAAAATGTCCTTCCTACCCACACAAAACAATGTAGATATTTAATGCAATCCCAATCAAAATTTTAATGTCATTCTTCACAGAAACAGAAAGCAATATTAAAATTTGTATAAACAGGAAAGATTAAGAATCACCAAAACAATCTTTAGCAAAAACACCAAAGCTAGATGTATTACAAAGCTACAGCATGGTACTGGCACAAAAACAGAAACATTGACTGATGGACTAGGACGGAAAGCCCAGACATAAACCTAAAAATTGACAATTAACTGATTTTCAAATAAGGTACACAAATGTAGTAAACATAAAATGTAGTAATAGTAGTCTCTTCAACAAATCCTGCTGAAAATAATGTGCCATCCACATGCAAAATAAATTGGCTACATCTAAATATTTATATGCAATCACTAAAAAATAGATTTCATGCTCAAACATAAAATTTAAAACTAGAAAAGTACTAACAGAACAGGAAAAAGTCCCAAGACATCAGTCCAGAAAATGATTTATTGGATGTAATGCCAAAAGCCAGGCATTAAAAGAAACACAGATTACTGGGATTATAGGAAATTAAAAAATATTTATACTGCAAGATAAATGACAAAGTGAAGAGAAAAGCCACACATTAGAAAGAGGCTAACAACAAATATGTATAAGGGAATCTTTATTAAAATAGGAAAAGGGCCCAAATAGACATTTCTCAATAGAAGATATATAAATGGTCAACATATGAAAACATCTTTGATATTATTAATGATGAGACACAAATAAAACAAAAATAATGTATCACTTTTCACCTGATGGAATAGCTACTATCAAAAAGATGCAAAATAGTTAAGTGTTCATAAGTACAATAGTCTCTGGAAATGTAAATTAAATCAGATAGCTTAGAAAGCAGTATGAAGTTTCCTCTAAAAACATAACATAGAACTTGCATTGGATTTATTAATTCCAAAACTAAGTATATATTTGAACATGAAACCATTATATTTAAGATATAGCTGTACTCCCATGTAGAGTACATAAGAAATAAAATCCATGAATATGTTCACCAACACATGAATGGACTTAAAATGTATTCTACTCAGATTGAAAAAGAAGAAAATTCTGTCACATGACAAGATACATGAATAGAGCACATTATATTATGTGACACAAGTCAGGCACAGAAAGGCAAATATATTATCTTGTTTATATCTGAACTCTGAAAAGCCAAAATGCATATAAGATTCACTAAGTCATAAAACAGACTAAATAAATGTTAAAAGGACTGAACTCACAGAAGGTATTTTCTGATTATGAAGGATCACAAGAGAAAATTAGGGGCACACATTTGCCCTAGTGGTTAAAATGCCCCTTTAAATGTCCATGTCCTGGATTTGAGCCTTTGTTCTGCCCAATATTCCAGCTTCCTGAAAATGTGCACACAAGTGATGGATCACGTACCTGAGTCTCTTCCGTGCATGAGAGAGACAGGAATGGAGTTTCAGGATCTAGGCCTCACCCTGGTCTGGCTCTGGCTGTTGTGGGCATCTAGGGAGTAAACCAGGGAATGGGGGATATTTTAAAAACAATATCTGATATCAGTAAACTACCCTTCTACCTTAAGAAATTAGAAAAATTGGAAAAAGCTAAAGCCAAACCAAAGAGGAAAAAGATATAGAGAGTAGAGTGGAAAAAGACAAAGAAACGACGGTGCAGCAGTGGCTACTTGCAGGTAGGGAACCAGGGGCTAGGGATGATGGCACATTGTGAGATCTTTCTGCCCAGCAAGATCCTGCTATCTCTGCACCCAGCCATACCGTACAGGATCTCTCCTTGACCCCAATTTGCTCTACTCATTCCTGTCTCACTTTTGCATTCTGCTGATTCCTCTGGGACAGGCCATGCAAGATTCACAACCCACTTGCTTCTGTCCACCCAACGCCTGGCAGGCTTGCTTAGCTTGCAGTGTCAAGAAATGTATAGTGTGTAAGCCAAGTTCACACGTAAGCAGCTTGAGCATGTTTGGATCTCCTGGATACTAACAGTATATCTGCAACCCTGGTAAGAGAAAGAACTACGCTACTCACTGATAAATACAGAATTTCTTCATCAGGAAAATGATCCCCATGTCTCATCTGGAGACCAGGGGATATGCAAGGATCTTGATGAACATGGTATGAGTGGTGGTCAAGAAAGGCAGAGAAATCAGAACCCTAGTCCAGTCACAGGAGCAGCTGCACACATCTCAGAAAGCAAAAGCAAATGAGGTCCTACCCACTGCCATTGGTGGTTACTGAACCAGGTGACCAGGTACTGAAACTGCTCCACCTCAGGAGACAGATAAGATGCACAGTGTGGACAGAATGTGTGCAGCCTCATCCATAATCCATGCTGCACTCACAGTGAGTCCCATCATTCCCAGTCACTCCTTCCTTCTACCCCTTGACCTCATTTTTGAGACATGCAGGCTCAGGAAGAAGGCCCTGAAGTCACTACCTTCCCAAGTAAACCTGGCTTCAGCTCTGTCCAAATATATACCTCCCCAGTTCAACCCACTCCTGATCCCTCTCGGAGCCTGGGTCTCCCAACTGCCTGAAAGATACTCTGGGGAGCAGAGATACTCTGCAAGACGCTTGTCTGATACAAAGCAGTTGCAGGACGGGACCAGTGCTTTGGGATCATATCTTCCCAGCTTGGTGAAAAATTAAAAAATGAGCATCAATATTTGGGGCATCCAGTTTGAATAACTAAAGCTTCCATGTCCAGGTCCTACTTTTGTTTTCTTCTTTTCTGTTTCTTACCCTTGTTTCCTTGCTGTACTCCATCTATAAACCCATGGAGAGAGGTGACTATGTCTCCTACTACGATCTGCCAGCCCCCTTACACTAGTTTTCACTTTATATATGTGAGTTGACAGAAATATACAAAAAAGTATAGCTTTTAAATACACTTAATTAAATTTCTTAAAACAACTGATCTTTCTCAGTCTCTAAAAAAATTATCTTTAAGTCAATTCTGAGGAAAGAATAGCTATCTCGCCTTTGTTTAATTTTTTACAAAACAAAAACATAAGCATTTATTTCCCTTTAATCTGTTTATTCTTGTATTGCAGGTCTGCATCTCATGACTGCATTTGGGGGATCCTCAAAGGCCATGACTAGGGCTAATGTGCTTTTCCCAAAGGGCAGCAGTGGAGGTGGGAGGGTGATTTGCAGGACTGTCCTCAGCATGCACAACAAGAAAGGCGTGACTACAGCTAGAGCACCCATCAGCATGTAGCCTGGTCACCTGGGAAGACCTGGGTGAAGTGTCCGTCCTGACTGGGGATCTGCTGAGATCTAAGCTAAAAGCAAATCCAATCAGAAGTCAGAGAGGACCTTGTGGTTGGGAAACAGAATTTCACAGCAACTTTGAATGAAACTGAGGATCAACATGAAGGGGGATAATGACAATAAAACGACTAAAATCCAAGTAAAACTATTATAGCACCAGACACGACTGTCTTTATGTACAAGGGTATCCAACAGGGTCAGAGAAGGAAATAGAGGTCAGACTCGGACCAGGATTCCAGGACTAACGGGAGTAACCCGTTTCAACAAAGTGTAGACAAAAAATAAAACGCTGGCACAGTCAGTGACAACAGAACACAAGGAGGATGGATGCACACAGGAGGGCCTACCATGGAGACTGCAGATGCCTGAACCAACTCTCCTCAAGACCGGGAGCGCAGGAGGAACCGGGAGAAGCGCGCAGCACACCCGCTGACTCCTCCTAGTCCCAGCCTCCGACTTAGAAGGCGCTGACGGACCTGAGAGGCTCAGGCTGAGGGCTTCTTCCACCACCACAGCTTTATTCCTGGCTCCAACTTGGAGACCACCTCACGGCTGCTAACGCAGGAACCTGTTAGGAGGGAAAAGAATCCTTAACGCCAGGCTCCTGCGGCCACTGGACCGCCGCCGCGCGCTTTTCGCCAGTTCTGCTGCGCCTGCGCGGAGAGGCCGGCAAACCCGGCGCGCTTGCGTCACTTCTCTCTTCCAAGTTCCCGGGACGGTGCCGCTCGGCACCTGCGCGGGACAGCCGGCGGCTCAGGTTGCAGGCTCCTAGGCGATACCTGCTGTCAGTCAACGGGTCGTTTCTCCCGCCAGCCCTCCTCCTTCCAGTCCCTCAGGGAGGCGCGGTGGAGCCCGCCCCAAGGTCCCCCGGGTGCAGGAGAAGTGGCTATGCGGCCACGGTTCCGGGATTCCCGCCCGAGACCCGGACGGCCGATACAGGTCCGTCCCGTGGACAAGGGCTCCTGCTGCACGACTCGTGTGCTCTCCAGGAGCCCCCCCCCCACCATCCCCGTCCCAACCCTCAGCCACCCCAGCATCTTTCCAGGGCTTCCCCCGCTGCTGAACCCCTTGCCTTCTGCCCCCTTTCTCTTTCCACTCGCTGCAGATTCTGGGAGCCCGTTCAGTCTCTACCCGGGATGCCCCGCCCCCTACACTTCCCTGCTACCCCTACCTTTAGTCTGGGGCTCAGGCCACTGTTTGAAGGTCACCCTCTGGGTCCCCTAAACTTACCCCGTAATCACTTGCAGACTCTGGTGGTCCCTCACCTCTTTCCAACTTAGCCCTTACGTACTTGTTCCTCCCCATCTTGCTAAGCCCCTTGGGTTTTTGACTTTGCAAATACTTTAACAACTTACTCCTCACCCCTCTTTCTCTTCCTAGCCTACCCCTGAATTGCGTCTCTTCCCTGGTTGGAATTCCAGCTCTCTACTCCACTTCATCCCCCCTAAGGGCTCTTTCAGTCCCACGCTGTATTCCTAGTCTCCTGTTTCATGTGTAGCAGTCTAGAGCCAGGCAGTTCTGGTCTCTTTGAATATTACAATTTCTGCCGCACTGTGGGGAGTGCTGGGAGACAGACAAGTGCACCGAGGGAGGAGGGGAAACATTTATCCTCTTCAGAAACTCAACTGAAAAGAGGGTATTTATATATGTGGGCAAACACAAAAACACTCCCCACCTGCACTCGGTCTGGAGGTTTGGAAAAGCTGAGAGTATTTATATGGTCATTTGGGGGTGGGGGTGCCCTGGAGATCTCACTGATTATAATTAGGAAAGGGTTGAGGAGAAACAACTGCAGCAGGCAGTTCTTCAAACACAATCTAGTCTAGTTGTACTTCATGCTGGCATTGTGGCCCAGCAGGTTAAATCTCTGTGTGCAGCGGGTCCTGGCTGATCCACTTCCAATCCAGCTCTCTGCTAATGCACCTGGGAAAACAGAAGTTGGCTCCAATATTTGGGACCCTGCTACCCATGTCAGGGAGACCCAGATGGAGTCCCAGGTGCCTGGATTCAGTCTGGCCCACACCCAGCTGTTGTGGTCATTTGGAGAGTGAACCAGCAGATGGGAGAGCTCTCTAACTGTTCCTTTCAAAGAAAGCAAGAAAAGGGGGAGGGGTGAGAGAGAGAGGGGAAGAGGGGAAGGAAGGAAGAAGGAATTTGTCATCATTAAGTCAAGTTCTTTGAAAGACAATGGCTTGGGTTCAGGAGTTGTGCAACAGAAGGGCCAGTTTAAATCCTTTGCTGGAGACTGTGGATACTCACATCCTTCATGGACTCAAATCCTATACCTAAACAGAATTACACCTTATAAGGTAGCTACTTGCTTATCAAATGAGATGAAATAGGTAGATTTGGGTGTGACTGGGGAGTGTCACTCACCCCAGCATGGCAGGCTGCTGTAGATCTCCAGCATCACATACAGGGTCCTCTGAGAATTGTCCAGATGCTGTTACTCACATTGGGTGGACATAACAGTCTGGTCTTATGACACCAATATCTTTTACAGAGCATTTGTCTTCAGCATTTCAGCTCTGGGTCACAAAACAGGTAAATAGGGAATCCATTCTCTCAGTGTGTTTTACGTGTCTCTAATGTAAGATGAAGCCTATTTTGTGCTCTGTATGCTGACAGTAAGAAAAACACAATGGAAATATATTCCATCTGTGTTAATGTTGTAATTGCAAATATACTATAAAAGTTTTTCTTATATACCTAGAACTAACCTTCCCCACAAGAAAGGAACAATGGAATTCTGACTGTGTTAAGAGATCACAGTGACAGGCTAGTGGGGCCACCATGCGGCTGGCCAGGGGCACACTGGGAAGTGGTTGGAAGGCTAGCCTCAGTGCTGTGGGCATCTGTAGGTGCCTGCATGTGACAAAGTTGTGGCCCTTGGCAGTTGGGAGTGAAAGGGTGGGGTAGCCACCCAGTGCCTTCAACTAGGTGCTGCTGTAGTTCATGGTGTGCCTCCTGTCCAAGAAGCTGCTCAATTTGAGGCATCAACAAATGAATTGATTAATGAAGAGTTGGGAATAGCTTATCCCATCATTGATGGGATTCCTAATAGGATACCACAGGCACTAAGGATGATCTATCCAGATAAGAAGAAACAGAGCGGTACTAGATCATGATTTTTAAAAAACACAGCAACTAAATGTTGTTAATACCATATCCATTGCCGGCGCCGTGGCTCACTAGGCTAATCCTCCGCCTTGCGGCGCCGGCACACCGGGTTCTAGTCCTGGTCGGGGTGCCAGATTTTGTCCCGGTTGCCCCTCTTCCAGGCCAGCTCTCTGCTGTGGCCAGGGAGTGCAGTGGAGGATGGCCCAAGTGCTTGGGCCCTGCACTCCATGGGAGACCAGGAGAAGCACCTGGCTCCTGCCTTCAGATCAGCATGGTGTGCTGGCTGCAGTGTGCCAGCCACGGCGGCCATTGGAGGGTGAACCAATGGCAAAGGAAGACCTTTCTCTCTGTCTCTCTCTCTCACTGTCCACTCTGCCTGCCCCCCCCCAAAAAGGCTAAATACCATATCCATTTATAAAACAAATCCTCAATTAGAGAGATATGACACATTATTCTTTTAAAAATGTTTATTTATTTATTTTATTTTCTTCTGAGCCAGAGAGAGAGAGAGAGAGAGAGGGAGAGAGAGAGAGAGAGAGAGAGAGAGAGAAAATCTTCCAACCACTGGTTCAAATGGCTGCAACAGCCAGACCTGGGCAAGACCAAAGCCCAGAGCACTTATGCCATCATCTGATGTCTCCCAGGATGCATTAGTAGAGATATGGATCAGAAGCACAGAGGCTGGGACTCAGGCCAGGCACTATGATGATAGGTATGTGAATCCCAAGTAGTAGCTCAACCTACTTCTCCACAGTGCCTTCCCCTGGTAAATTCTTTTTAGCTTTATAAGCTATATACATTTCAGCTCAAAGGCAGCATCAGAGTTAACAGGGAAGTACTGGAAGATAAGACTGTTCCATCATCACAATCCTTTAACATTTTATATGAGATATTAGTCAATAAGAGAAAAATAATTGAAAATTATTATGATTTGCATACAATATACACCTGCAAGACCCAGATGATCTCCTGAAAACTACTATCAGGATGATTCAATAAATTAGAATATAAAAGTAATATAAAATCATCATATCAGAGTGGGAAATTAGCAAAGCAACTAGGATGCCCATGTCCTACATTACAGTGCCTAAGTTTGATTCTCACATCTGGTCCCTGACTCTAGCTTCCTTCTAGTGCTGGAAGTGTATGATTCAAGTGACGGTCAGTCACATGGAGACCTGGATCAACTTTGTGACTCCAGGTTTTTACGTGCCTAGCCCCAGCCCTAGTCACTTTAGGCATTTGGGGAGTGAAGCAGTTGATGGGAACTTTCTTTGTCTTCTTATTTCTCTAAGAAAAATCAATAAATACATTTTTAAATATTTATTTATTTATTTGAAAGCCAGAGTTACAGAGAGAGAGGAGAAGCAGAGAGATAGAGAGAGAGAGAGAGGTCTTCAATCCACCGGTTCACTCCCCAATTGGCTGCAATGGCTGGAGCTACACCAATCTGAAGCCAGGAGCCAGGAGCTTCCTCTGGGTCTTCCCACGTGGGTGCAGGAGACCAAGGATTTGTGCCATCTTCTATTGCTTTCCCAGGCCATAGCAGAGAGCTGGATTGGAAGTGGAGCAGCCAGGACTTGAACCAGTGCCCACAAGGGATGCTGGCACTGCAGGCATCGGCTTTACCTGCTATGCCACAGTGCTGGCCCCTCTTTTTCTTTTCAATAAAAATTCTAAAAATTGAATGCTTACAGTGACTATGCTGTTTGTGCTCTATGCCTGCACATTGGGCCAGAGAAACAGATAACTTTCTGCTTAACTCGCAGGTCTATGGATCAAGAAAAGGCACATCTGGACATAACATAATTTCCTGGCATCACTCAGATTCTAAATTTGAGTGCATAGTGATAAATAGATGGCACTTTAGGGCTGTGTTATTGAGTATGAAATGTGGTTAAGATACATGTTAGAGGAGAGAAATACCCATGTGTGGGGACCACTACCCACTCATTTTCAGTGTTGTTTCCTGTGAGAGGATCACATACTCCCACTCTCACTCTGGAAAAAGTCAGAGAAGGGCAGAAAAATGACTCTGGTCAAGCAAATACAGTGAAAGGGACGTGTTTCACTTCTGAGAACAGCACACTTTTGGTTCCTTGCCCTCTTTAGTCACAATGATCAGCAATGTTCTAGGAGAGGCTATTCTATCAGCCTGAACTCAAAATGAGATTTGATATACATCTTGAATGTGGAAGCCCTGAAGAGAGTAAGAGTCACTGCATATCAAACCATAATCTAGTTAACTGCCCTGATATCCTGAGAAATCAGCAAAAGAGCACCAGTTGAAGCAAATTGCCTCCTGGGATATCACTGCAAGTCTATGGATTGGGCCTGTGGACTTTTCAATAAATTTTCATGAATACATACATGGAATAAAGCTAAAGGTGATTCCACAGTTCACAGAAAGTATACAAAAATTTGAGAAATATGTGAACTGCCTGACTTATTAGTATCAAAATTTCTTATAACAAAATTAAAGAAATAGGAAACAAGGTAAAAAAAAAATGACAAGTTACACCACAGA